CCCTTGTAAAAGTATTTTAAACTGTATAAAAAAAATTGAAATCAATTGTGAAAATCCATTCCTTATATAGGACGTTCTCTCCTGTTCTAAAAGTCTAAAAAATATTATTAATTAATATTATTAACGAATGAATTAATTGATTAAAAAAAAAAATTTATTTTTTTGATGTAACTTGTGCTCACTTTGCATCCGAAATTTTAATCTTGTTAATTATGACAAAAATATTTCGTCAGGTATCATTTAATCATGACATTACCAATGACACATTTTTGACATTTGACTTTAGCAATTGTCAATTAGTCATCATTTATCATTTTATTTTATTTTATTGGACAAAATCATGTTATTTGTAATACTTCAACAAGTATAAATATGTTTGAAATCTCCTTTAGTTAAAAAAAATTAAAAAATAATTGATCTTTCAATAATAACACTTTGGTGATAATAATAACACTTTTCATTAATTGATAGATCTGGAATGATTGATTGATTCATGACCCTTTCTGATGATTAATGGCTTGGCCAACATTTAATTATTAGTTTTGCTATATTGGTTGTAGGGACGCCTCAAGTAGTGTAGTTGTATATTTTAGTTTAATTTGAACATTATTGTGTCAGGTTTAATGGAGTTGAGTTTCTATTCGTAATAAAATTTTTGTTTGAATTATTCAAATCATTCATTTTGTTTGAATTGTTATCATTCGTTTATTATTCGAATAACATAATTCGTTTATTCGAATTGTTATCATTCATTTATTATTATTATTCGAATTGACATCATTCGTTTATTATTCAAATTGTTGTCATCATTCGTTTATTATTCAAATTGTTATCATCATTCGTTTATTATTCGAATTGTATCATTCATTTATTATCCGAACTGTTATCACCATTCGTATATCATTCGAATTATATCATTCATTTATTATTCGAATTGTTATCATCATTCGTTTATTATTCGAATAACATAATTCGTTTATTAGACTTGTTATCATTCATTTATTATTCGAATTGACATCATTCGTTCATCATTCGAATTGACATCGTTTCGTTTATTATTATTATTCGAATTATCATCGTTCGTTTATTCGAATTATATCATTCATTTATCATTGGAATTGACATCATTCGTTTATCATTCGAATTGACATCATCATTCGTTTATTATTCGAATTGATATCATTCATTTTTTATTCGAATTGATATCATCATTCGTTTATCATTCGAATTGGTATCATTCGTTTATCATTCGAATTGACATCATTCGTTTATTCAAATATTTGTTTTACTTGAATTATTCATTTCATTTCGTTTATTCATTTTTTTATTTGAATTGTTTATTCGAACTATTTGTTTATTCGTTTTATTCAAAGTATTCGAATTATTCGTTTATTTGTTTTATTTAAATTATCAATTGAAATTATTTATTTTATTTGTTTATTTGAATTATTTGAATTATTTGTTCATTCGTTTTATTTGAATTATTATTGAATTATTCATTATTCATTTTATTTGGCTTCCAGTGTAATTCAAGTACTCAAATTCATAACAAATTAAAACAAATAATTTGAATAAACCCTTATTCAAATAGAAACCCCAATCAAGCATTATAGTTGTATGTAGTGATTTTAATTTAGTTTGCCATATTTGGTGACTCCAATAATTCAGATCGCATGCTTGCAATATTTATTACAGTTTTGCAACTTTAGGGTGTCAATGCTGAATTGTTGTAGTTTAGGTAAAATTTTAAAATTATAATCATGTAGTTATCCGCAAAAAATATCCAAATCGCACCCAACCCACCAATAAAATTGGATATTTTCATGATGCTGCGCAAAATTGCAGATAACTATATACGCGTACAGTGTCTGAAATTGAGTGCGGGGGTTTGTGTTACATATTGAATTTAGCCAATCAAATTTGTCCTTCTGGTAGAAAATTTAACGTTGATTGGCTAAATTCAATATGTAACACAAACCCCCGCACTCAATTTCAGACACTGTTTGTTATTGATCGGCATTACGTACATCACCTAATTTTAATTCCAAAATAGTATGCAACCAATCATTTTTGTATTTTTAGCTTTGCCTTTAAAAAACACGAAAAGTAATGCCTCATAGCAAAATCAACTTGTTTTGTGTGTGATTTAATTCAGATAATAACTACTGTACGAATACAATGCGTTTTTGTTGATTTTACGCCTTTTTACTCTACTTAAATAAACATTGCATGCCAAATAAAAGTTGTTCTACAGTAAATAGAGTAACTACTTGTCTTTTAAGTTTCGATGGTAGAAAAATAGTCATATTTTAAAATTTTGTATTCCTTTGGCTTTTTACAAAATTTATTGGATAACAATTATAATCGCGGATATTCGATAGATTATCATTGTTATTATAATTAGATGATATTAATATCAATATCCGTTAATATTTATCCGTAAGATAAAAACTACTACCCGAATAGCCTCTAGTCATGCAAAAGTGTTTTCTCAAATTATTTTGGTGATCGATGTCCTCATATGCTTCGGTCAGGATTTTATCAGATTTGATACTTCCATTATAATACCATAGAACTTGCACTCCCATAATCAATCAATGATCATAATAATAAATCATGCCTTTTCTAAAATTAAAGAAATTTATGTACCAGAGAGTTGGGTTTTTTTAAATAATTGTTCTTTTTTTTTACTTTAGCGGATAAAACATCAGCACCATTATCCAACACTTTGCTTTGTTTATTTGCCGCATTCATTCAAAATATTCGGAGAGAATGTATTCTAGAGGCGAAAAAAATTGGGCGTAAAACTATTTGTTCTAATTGTCTTTTACCAAATTTATTCATATATTCGTTATCTATGTAATTTCAATAATAACAGAGTCGGTTATTTATTGTATGAAAAGTATTTATTTATATATCATATATCCTTTATCTACATATATTTAAATATCATTGTATATGAATATGCCTGTTACAATTTGCAGAGAAATTTATTATGACATAATTTAGAGTGTTTGTATAAGATTAAACAAAACAACATTTTAATTTAATTACGTGATAAAGTTTATTTATCATTTATTATTATTCGTTATTTAATATTACTTATTTTTGTTTGTTACATTGCATTACTTGCGCAGCATATCAAGAATTTCTTCTGGGCGTGAATTTAT